GACGTGACATGTTCGTACGAACCCTTTGTACGAACAAAAGTAAGAGAAATTTAGGATAAGAATACGAACATGTTCTTGCATGAGGCCCAATGAGAGTTCTACTTCTACTTCTGCCATGTGACTGTGGCAAGCATTATCTCGGATTAACAGATGCATAAACATTCTTAGTTAAATGAAAAATGAATCACAGATAATGGAGATTATTCTGTTCATTATCTCATTAAGAGGAAGAGAACACCCCTTCCACGGTTGGAGTGACCTGTCAAGGCCTAAATTAAGTACAGAGTGGAACAGAGTTTTTGTCTCTTTAAAAGGCCCGGAAACCTGCTTCAGAGACTGTAATTCTTGTTATTCCACTTGAGGAGACCCCTACACTACTATTTTACTTACAAATCATTGCTTCCAACTACATACATTCTAAAATAAGTTTACCCAGCTGTAAAAACCCTTTGATTGATTGTAAAATGTGCTTAAATCACAAATCCTATTTTCATTTTACAGAAAAGAGCCATAAGAATTATCACCAGAAAGCATTACAGTCACACTTCGAATATATTATTTTGTAAATTAAAATTATTAAAATTTTATGAGTTGGTTGATTTAATATTTTGCAGCTTATGTATAAGGCTCATAAAAAATGTTATCTTTAAACATCCAGTTATATTTTGTTAAGAGAGAAAATTTTTATAATCTTAAAGGACTTGAGATGTTTGTGAAACCTAGAATTCGAACAAACTTGTAGGACCGATGTACTTCAGTTCAAGTAATAAGATTGTGGAATAATCTGGAAAGTGATTATAAAAATGCCGGTTCAATGTTTTTCTTTAAGAGAATGATAAAAATAAGTTTGTTAAAGAAATATGAAATTGTATAATGTATATCAAGGTTGTTGCTTGAGAAGGAATTGAAGCTTTTATTTTTGTTTCTTGATTATTATTGCTTGAAATTAATTATAGAAAAAAGGGGCAGATATTATAAGATTTTTTCTTCTTTCTGCCTCCTTTCATTTCAATTTGATTTATAATTTTTTTTGTTGTATATGT